TTTTTGTGGTACTGGGGCTTGAACTCAGGGCCTTCACCTTGAGCCACTCCACCAGCCCTTTTTTTATTGTGGAGGTTTTTTCAAGATAAGTACTGGAGATCTGTTTGCCCAGGCTGACTTTGAACCATGATCCTCCTGATCTCTGCTTCCTGAATAGCTGGGATTACAGGCATGAGCCACCAGCGCCCAGCTGCATTTGTCTAACTAGCTTATTTCACAGAACACCATGTCTTTTTAATGATCCTGCTAATTCCAAAGTTAGTCAGAGACAAGCTGTTTCTGGGTCTTTTGAGATCATGCATGGGCATGGAATTAAGATGTGTAGTTGTTTGTGGGCATTAACAGTGCGTGTGTTTGGTTAAGATGTTAAAAAACATTTTCTTTCTGATGGTATTAACAGAAGGTATTCTGCAACCACACTGCTTGTTTACAGAAAAATGTGGAAGCTTTCTTTAGTTTTTATTATAAAAGTGATAAATTTTAAAAATACATAAAATTATCGTGAATAATTCAAAATGAAAAATAAACTAGGCATGGTGATGCATGCTCACAATACAAGCACTTGGGAGACTGAGGCAAGGAGGATTGCGAGTTTAGGGCTAGCTTGGGTTACATAGTGATGCCTCAAAAAAAAAATCCACAGTTAATACAGATTTTTTTTTTTTGGCAGTAGTAGGATTTGAACTGAGGGCATTGTACTTGCTAGGCAAGCACTCTAACACTTGAGCCCACCCTCGCCTTTTTAGGATTTTTTTTTTGTAGTACTGGGATTTGAACTCAGGGCTTCACACTTGCAAAGCAGGTCCTCAAACCATGCTTTCAGTCACTTCTTGGATATTTTTTAATTAAATAGAAGAGGTAGTACACTAAACCCCTGTTCTCAAAGCTAGGTGTTCTGCATTTCTCAGCCAACGGTGCAAGTGGTTCTGTGCCCCATCAAGACAGAGAGGGAAGGCCCCTTTTCCACTTACTCAGTCCAACAGAGGCACTTTTTTCTAATTTGGACAATGACACTTAGGTGCCAGAGGTGGCCTTTTGTAATCCCACCACTATCCAGAGACAGCCAGTTACCAGATTTTAAACCAGGATCAAATCAATATTTCTTAATGTATTTATCTCTTTAGCTTCTTAATTTATAAAAGTACCTCCCTCACTTCTTTTTTAATATCACTGGTATTCTTTCCACCATTTTGACCTTAAAAATTTGAAAGATTATATGATGGACACCCCTATATCCATCACCTGGATTATTAGCTGACATTCTTAAATAAGGATTTTTCCTTTAAAAAACATTAACATGCTCTTTTAAAAATTCTTAAGATTGCTAGGCACCAGTGGCTCACAGCTGTAATCCCAGCTACTCAGGAGGCAGAGATCAGGAAGATTGTGGTTCTAAACCAGCCCAGGCAAATAGTTCGAGAGACCCCCATCTCGAAAAAAACCCATCACAAAAAAGGGCTGGCGGAGTGGCTCAAGGTGTAGGCCCTGTGTTCAAACCCCAGTAGCACAAAAAAAAAAAAATTAATACTTAACACGTGTTCATATTTAAGCTTCTCAAAGAGAAATCATTTTAGAACTCAATCTTTGTGTTTCAAATCTGCTTGTAAACCCTGATCCTGTTTTACCTTGACATGAAAACATTTTAACAGTGGATGGAAAAAGATTTTTCTTGGTGTTTCTTTTATTTATTTATTTTTTTGCTTTGTTTTGTTTTGCTTTTAGTACTGGGGTTAGAATTCAGGGCCTCATACTTGCTAGGCAAGTGATCATCCATTTGGCTGTACCTCCTGTCCTTGTTGCTATAGGTTATTTTTCAGATAGGGTCTCATTTTTTTGCTCAGGGATGGCCTCAGACTATGATCCTTCTACCTATACTTTCCAATTAGCTGAAATTACAGTTGCATACCACCATGCCAACTTGTTTATTGAGATGGGAGTCTTGCTAACTTTTTGCCTTGGCTAGCATGGAACCTTAATCCACTTGATCTGCACCTTCCAAGTAGCTGGAATTACAGGCATGAGCCACCCTAACCAGCTTACAATAACAAACTTTTTAATTTTTTTGTTTTTTGTGGGATTTGTGTGTGTGTGTGTGTGTGTGTTACCGGGGCTTGAACTCAGGGCTTATAACTTAAGCCACTCTACCAGCCCTTTTTTTGTGAAGGGTTTTTCAAAATAGGGTATCACATACAATTTGCCTAGGCTGGCTTTGAACCCGGGTCCTCCTGATCTCTGCCTCCTGAGTAGCTAGGATTACAGGTGTGAGCCACCAGCGCCCCGTGAGATTGGGGTTTTGAACTCAGGGTTTTGCACTTGCAAAGCAGGCACTCTACTGCTTGAACCGTACTTCCAGTCCAGTTATTTTGCTCTGGTTATTTTAGAGGTGGAGTCTCATGAACTGTTTGCTTGAACTGGCCTTGAACCACGATTCTCCCAATCTCAGCCTCCTGAGTAGCTAGGATTACAGTTGGGATCCACTGGCACCTGGCTGTTTCTTAGATTGTGGGTATTGAACCTAGGAGCTGACACTTGCTAGACAAGCACTGAATCACTTGAGCTACATCCCCAGCCCAGCAGCTGTGTGTTCCCATCATCCTGTTAGACTATGAGCTCTTCCCACCCCTATAGTGCTGCACCACCACAGCCTGCCTTGAACGTCCTCTGCTCAAGTGTGGAGTCTGCCCAGAGGTCTGCAGTGCACATTGACTCATGCAAGCTAACATCCTAGGGCTTGTGCTCATCATCACCATTAGTGTGCCATCCCTTTAGGTCCTTGTGCTGGACCTACAAGTAAAGGAGCTACAGGGGACCAGTGTTTCTCTGTTCCCTTCCTGATAGGTTTGCCTTACTGTTAAGTGCAGACATCAGACAAGGAAGAACTAAGAAGGGAGTTAAGTGACAATTAGGAGTGAGGTAGTGAGGAGGGAGTGGAGCCATCCTACACATCACAGGGAAAAGGAAAAGAAGGATGGAGAAGAAGGGAATCCCTGATTACCCTGCTCCTGAACCTCACCCAGACTGCCTCACTTAGCACTGCAGTTCACCGCAATACATTTGTCTGATTTGGTGTGCTCATCAAGTGAAGAGCCTGGGTGGTGGCACATGAGTGTGTGTTAACTTACTCCACGTAGCCTTGCTATTGAAGCATTTCAGTAGTAACACAGTGAAGAGGCGAGGCTAGTTATAAAATCATAAGAATACATGGTCTGAACTAGGCGTGATGATGCACGTCTGTAATCCCAGCACTCGGGAGACTGAGGCAGGAGGATGTCTTGAATGCCAGGCCAGCCTGGGCTACATATCAAGACTCCATATCAAGACTCTTGTCTCAAAACAACAGCAACAAAGAAGACATGGCCTGTTCATCAGTTCATGAGTCCTGCAGCTAGCTAAATAAGCTGAGTGTAACTCACATAGCCCATGGAGGCGCATGCCACAGGGCTACAGAAAGTATTACACAGGGGCCTGGCTCAAGCAAGCCTGAGGCCCTGAGTTCAAACCCCAGATCAGAAAAAAGAAAAAATAAATAAAAATATTGTAGATTTTGTTTCACTTATGTACTGACAAAATCTCCTCACAAATTATTTTTAATTATGAACGTGAATGTAGACTTTTTCCTACTTATTTGTTCCTAGTTTTCTTGACAATGAAGAGTTACTTTTTTTCTAAATATTCCCATTTTATTCATTTAACCAGTAATAATTTCAGTGACCTCTTCACATTAACACCCGACTAATTGGTAAACTTCAGAGGAGTTGTCATTTGTCAGTATGTTCATTGCAAGCTGAAATGAAACCTAGTATTATATTTTTGTTTATGTTTAGTTTTTCTGGGCTGTGAGCATGTTAATTCCTTTTTTACAATGATTTTATCTTCTTGTTTTGTTTCTTTTTACTCGAGACGGGGTGTTGCTACATACATAGCCTAGGTTGGCCTAGAATTCAAGATCCCCCAGCCTCAGTCTCCTAATATCTGGGATTAGAGGCACACCCCAATTTGGCCAGCACATCTTAATTTCTTAATGAGCTGGTTGTCCTGTGTCACTAGGGACTGTATTTTCAAACACTGCATTTGACCCAATCAATGGGCAGTTGTGAGATTTGGGAGCAGTACAAGAATAACATCATGTGTTTTTGCAGACTTTGTAATTTTCTTCTGGAAAATCCAGATTATCCAAAGAGAGAAGACAGAATCATTATCAACCCCAGCAGCAGTCTGCTTGCCAGCCAGGATGATACAAAGGCAAGTGTCATCTGCACCCGCAACGGCTCTGTCTTGTTCGTCATCTTTATAGGGAAAAGTGCTTTGCTGAGGGTGGTTTGAAAGACTAGAAGGGAAAATAGGGTTTCAGAGGGTAGCACGTCAGTGGAAACTGCCGCTCTGAACCACTTCAAATTCTGTATTTAACTCTTTTCTTTCATCATTGCTCTTCACTTCCCTTTTCCACAAAGAACTAAGTAAATCTATCAAGTCTTTAATCCTAAAAAGCAAGTTCCTAAAATGGAACAAGAATTGGTCAGGATTTTTTGTATCATTTTAATAGTTATTTATTTTTCAAACATTCTATTATAAAATTTTCAAACATACAGAAAAGTTGAAGTATCCTACACTAATCACCTGAATGCCTCGACTCATAGTACTAAACAATTAAAATTTCACTGTATCTGCTTTTCCACACCTCTGCCCAGTCTGTCTACCAGCGTGTCTTTCTTTTTTTTTATTAATTAATTAATTAATTTATTATTCATATGTGCATACAATGCTTGGGTCATTTCAAGTCTGTCTTTCATTGTAATGCTCTTCATTGTAAATTGTGAAAGCGTTGGTGCACTTCCCTGTAAGTACGTCAGCATGCGTGTGATCACCTAGAGTTGCTTTCCCTGCAGTGAGATTTGTGTAC